CGGCAAGACATTCAGACATTATAGAGCAGCACAGATGCACAGAAATAAGCACTGCCCAAAAGCAAAATCCAAGTCAATATGAATGGAGAAACAAGACCTTAAGAGCTCAACAATTAATCAGTGCTCTATTATTGCCCTTGTTTTATTGTTATTTGTTATTTTACATTTTCAAGTTACCCAAGTTGTTTGTAGAAAGAAAATAACGTGGTTAAGTATTTATGATTGTTCCTGCACTTGTATTACTGTAATTATATGAATGTTTAATATGGACCTTTTTATTAAAACAATTATTCCACCATGAGCACTGAAACAGAGTCATTCTTCATAACCTTCAAACTGACTGGAAGGAACTGTCTTAAGAAAAGTTTCGATGCCATTTTATTTTCATCATATCTCATAATATCGTGTAGATGTATGGCAGGGCGTGTCCGTTCATGGCGATAATTAAAATATTATAATTAAAAAACTTAAGAACATTAATGTTGAAAAATGCATTACAATAAAATATAGAATGAACACCAGTAAACTGAAGTTGTCAAAACTTTTGAAAAAAAGAGAAGTTAAAAGACTCGTCGACTACTGGGGCATAACAAGAAATCTCCTATTTTCCGAATTCATTTAGATCTAGCTGAACAATTTTCATGTGCCTCTGGTCTTAAACTTAATATATTAAAATGTGAAACAATATCAATTCATGACTGGATGATACAGTGCATCCGGAAACTATTCACAGTGCTTCACCTTTTCCACATTTTATGTTATGTTACAGCCTTATTCCAAAATGGATTAATTTCATTATTTTCCTCAAAATTCTGCAAACAATACCCCATAATGACAACATTAAAGAAGTACAATAATGAGTTATACATATTCTAAATAATAAATAAAAAAAAGGAAATCAGCTTTTGAAAATGTCAAAATTATTACTTATACGATTACAACTATTATACAATTATTTTTTTTATAACGAGAGTTTTGAGCAGTGTAGAGTAGCACTTGTTGTTTGTCATTTCTCCGATCACAAATGCAGACATGGTTTTATGTTTACGCGGCGCAATGCAATGCAACGCGTAAAAAGACTAATCTAAGACATAATTTTGCAGTAATTTTTTCATTTTAAGATGATACACATGGGTTAAAAACAGCCCAATTTGGGTAATTTTGCCAACCCAGCAATGAATCAAAAATGGAAAATTTTGAAGGCCTTTGTCCGTTTGGGTTAGTGTTGGGTTCTGTGCCCCCGTTTTTTTTTTACTCAAAATGGGAAATTAAAATCAAACACACAAATTTACTACAGCAACAACACTGGCTTCAGTCATAATCAAACAGTGAAAATTGATCAAGCAAACACAGTAAAAGCAGGGCAGTGGAACGGAAACACACGTTCTGTGTGAACAGCAACACGTTATCCCTCTCTGTATAATGGTTGGCATTTTGTCAAACAAATGTATTATGTAGCATTTTCACAATCTTTTAATTAAATCAAACTACTGAGATGTTCCTAGCAAGTGTCAAACTAGTTCCCAACTGCAGCGTCAAACACGCTTTAATTATTATATTCATTCACCTGAGACTGTTTTAATGTAATATACCATAATACAACCAGTCAGACATAAGCAAGTTTACTTTATTAAATCTATAGATCAGTACAGTGGTAGCAACACTTTAAGCTCTGTTCCCTGCGCGTTGAAGCTCCATCCTCCAGTCCAGCAGGTGGCGGTAATTCATCCTAAGTGTCTGCTCACTGCTAATAACAACACAATCCATAGAAGAAGAAGTAGAAGCAGAAGACAACAACAATTCAAACTGTTCAGTCCTGTGATCTTGTGAGTAATTTTAATGTCTAGCAGTTAAAGTGGGCTCAGTGCTGGAAACTGCAGAGGGTCATTAGTGCGGGTGTTAGAGGGCATTTAAAGATTTCTTTTCATCATAATTTCTTTTTTTTTTTTTTTTTTGTAATTCTTAAGAGTTTAGTGGATTCACTCCTTGCTTTGTTTGCCAGGCTGGAGCTGAATCAACTACACGCCCCTATCTTAGAACTGTAAATTACCCAATACGCTTAATGTGGTATTAGGAACTTTCCCTATAGGCCTATTAACTTTCCCTACTATCTATGCTGATTAGATGGCTACCTAAAATTACGTAACATCAAGGTAATTCACAAGTACGAATACAAATTGTTTAGAGCTAGTTTAGGCCCATATTCATATTCTGTGCGTTGGTCAGGTTACAGCAGTGTGAAATGAACTTTTATGTAAAAGTACTTTACTGGAAGAATCTTGCCCCCTTTTCTAACCTTGTTAGATTTAGGCATGATCTCTTAATGTCAATTTCTTAGATTTAATCAGTAAATTCTGTTAGAAGAATACAATAATATATGGCTTTTAACAATCAAATTAAATCCGTATCAACAAAATCCATCTCTGCACTGCGAAACAGACAACATGATTGCTCTTAAAGGATAAGTTCACTTCCAGAATGAAAATTCTGTCATCATTTACTCACCCTCCACTTGTTCCAACCCTGAGTGCGTTTCTTTCTTCTGTTGAACACAAAAGAAGACATTTTGAAAAATCTTAGTATCCAAACAGTTGATGGGCACCATTGACTTGCATAGTATTTTTTCCTACTACGGAAGTCAATAATGCCCATCAACTATTCGAATACACAAGACAGCGAGCGCCGTCCTGAAAAGGTCTATATGGAACTTCTTTTTGCCTGTAAGCGAAGATTTTTTCCCCCCTATTTTTTATAGAGACGTTTCAAATGAAATACATTTTGAAGCAAAATCTAAGTAAATATATAATTAACTGGATTCAGTGTAGTACAATTTAGCGATTTCCAAAATGTGTTACCTCGTTTTAAGTAATGTGCGCAAGATTTACTAATCCATTCTGTTTCTTGAATGTTTTGTGAATAGCACTCTCTTTGTGAACAGGCTACATCACCGTTTCAGTCCTGTCATACTTTAAGCAGGGCATGCACTGTGCGATTATCGTCGAATTTTGAGCCGAATTCTGACTCATGCAACCCTTTTTTTTAGACGGGGCAAATTTCAGCTTTGTCGTTTGTCGTGCAGTGTTCGTGTAGTGTAGGGAAACGAGAAATTAGTAGCGACTGGCAATTGTACAATTGGATGAATTTCTGACATGTCCGAAATTTTGGTCGCCCCTCGCGAGTATCGCACAGTTGAATCAGAGCTACGAACCGATAACTTAGTGCTTTTCCCTCACTGTGCTTGTGCGAAAACAGAACTTAAACAATTTAATCTTTAATGCAGCAAGAAAGAAAGCAAAAAGAGGGAGGTCTTTATGAGTTCTGTCGCTATCAAACTAGCTACAATTTAGCAGCTTATCTCCAGTTTGCATTGCAGAATGGTTAAACCATTTAATTAATGTTCTTAATCATTTATTTATTTATTTTTATTCACCTCAGGGTTCTGTTGTTGGCTCTATCTTATTTTCTTTATGCATGTTGCCTCTGGGTTCGATTTTTAAAAAATACTTGTATGCCGACTATGGTTGCAAAGGGGTGGAAAATTTCTGGAAACTTTCCAAAAATTCCTGGAATATTCCACAAAAATCCTGGACAATTTCCTCCAAAATTTCTGCAATGTTTCCAAAATTTACTGGAAATGTTCCACCCTAATGCCGACGATGCACAAATGTATCTCCCTTTGAAATCAGTAGAGCATTGTGGTGCTAATTTACTTTTGGCATGTCTGGAGGAGGTTAAGCTGGGTGACTCGTAATTTGGTTCAACTAAACCAAAGTAAAACTGAGATTATGCTTTTTGGCCCTGCCAGAGGATGCACAGATATTGCCTCATGTTTAGGCACATGGTCAGACTACTGCCATGACCAAGTAAAGAATCTAGGTGTTGTGCTTGACCCAGAACTGAAACTTGATAAGCAGATTAATGCTGTGGTTAAGAGTTGCTTCTTCCAGATCTATTGCTCGATTAAAGTCTATACTGTCGAGAAAAGATTAAGAGAAGGTTATTAATGCCTTTGTTCTGTCTCGCCTTGACTATTGCAATGTTTTGTTTGTGGGGTCCTGCTCCTGTCAGACCACTATATCACGTTTGCAGTTAGTGCAACTAAGAAAAGTCATCATATTTCTCCTATTTTGGCTTCTCTTAAGTGGCTACCAGTGGACTTCACCATAAAATATTAAATTCTGCTATATGTTTTTAGAGCAGTGCATGGGATGGCTTATTGCTCTTCACCAAGCACCTAGGTTTTTAAGATCAAGCAATAAGTCATTACTTGCTGTTCCTCGAACTCATTTAAAGTTAAAAGGGGATCAGGCTTTTGCTGTTGCGGGCCCAAGGCTTTGGAACTGTTTGACTCATGAACTTAGGGAGATTACTTTGTTAAATGTTTTTGAAGCTCGTGTTTTAAAAGTTATATTTTGTCGTTAGCCTTTGAGAGGATGGGCTAGTATTGATGTATTACTAGGTTGTGTGTTGTTTTGACACACTGGGTATTAGATTAGAAAACTGGCGAGTAACCCTGCTGTGTTTGGAGTTACTTTATTATACAGTAGCTCTGCTTTTTTACCCAGTTTCAGACGCAGTGGTCATTTAAGTTTTAAAATGTATTGTTCAATAAAGTTAAACTGGAATTAAATGTATAAAATAATCTCTTTTTTTCAGATCTGGTGCTGTGATGTAAAGATGGAGTTTATTAAAGAGGAGAATGATGATGATACATGCCATCAGTGTGGAAAGAGCTTCACAAGTAAAAGAAACCTCAAAGAACACATGAGAATTCACACCGGAGAGAAACCCTTCACATGCCCTCAGTGTGGAAAGAGTTTCTTACGTAGAGGAGGCTTTAAGATTCACATAAGGATTCACACCGGAGAGAAGCCGTATGTGTGTCAGCAGTGTGGAAAGAGCTTTATAAGTCAAGGAACGCTTGGCACTCACTTAAGGTCTCACAGTAATGAGAAACCGTTCAAGTGCCCTCAGTGTGAAACGAGTTTCAGACGTAAAGACCTCTTCAGTCGTCACATGAGAGTTCACAGTGGAGAAAAGCCTTTCTCATGTCCTCATTGTGAGAAGTGTTTTTCAACTAAAACCCACCTTCATACTCACTCACGAATTCACACCGGAGAGAAGCCTTACACATGTGATCAGTGCGGAAAGAGTTTCAAATGGACAAATGCTTTCAGAGTTCATAAGCTCCTTCACTCCGGAGAAAAGCCATTTAAGTGTGATCAGTGCGATAAGAGGTTTGTTCTGGAATCAGACCTAAAGGCCCACATTAAAACTCACACAAAAGAGAAGCCTTACTTGTGTTGTGTTTGTGGAAAGAGGTTTTTATGGCGGGGCTGTTTTAAAGAACATCTAAAACTCCACTCTGGTGTGAAAAACTATTTGTGCGCAGATTGTGGTAAAGCCTTTATTACAGCCACTCAGCTGAAAGTGCACCGCAGGATCCATACTGGAGAAAAACCTTACAAGTGCTCGCATTGTGAGAAGAGTTTTGGACAGTTAGGAGGCCTGCAAGACCATGAGAGAATCCACACTGGAGAGAAACCATTCCAGTGCCATCAGTGCGGCAAGACATTCAGACATTATAGAGCAGCACAGATGCACAGAAAGAAGCACTGCCCAAAATTAAAGTCGATATGACTGAAGAAACAAGAGCTCAAGAGCTCTAGGCATTAAAAAGTGCTACCTTTTTTTGTGATTATTGTTTCACTCTATCCTGTTATCCTGGTTCTCTTCCTATCTTACAAATAGACAATACTACATTGCTATAAACAATTATAACTCCTCCACTGCTTTACTTAGACAGGGTGTTCCCCAGGGCTCTGTTCTCGGCCCATTACTGTTTATTATTTACATTATGCCCCTTGGACATATTATTCGCCATTATGGTTTTCATTATCACTGTTGTGCTGATGATATTCAGAACCGTTACAGTTCAGAGGCCTGCGAAACCATGAGAGAACCCACACGGGAGAGAAACCATTCCAGTGCCATCAGTGCGGCAAGAGATTCAGATATTATAGAGCAGCACAGAAAGAAGCATTGCCCAAAATTAAAGTCGATATGACTGAAGAAACAAGAGCTCAAGAGCTCAAGGCATTAAAAAGTGCTACCTTTTTTTGTGATTATTGTTTCACTCTATCCTGTTATCCTGGTTCTCTTCCTATCTTACAAATAGACAATACTACATTGCTATAAACAATTATAACTCCTCCACTGCTTTACTTAGACAGGGTGTTCCCCAGGGCTCTGTTCTCGGCCCATTACTGTTTATTATTTACATTATGCCCCTTGGACATATTATTCGCCATTATGGTTTTCATTATCACTGTTGTGCTGATGATATTCAGAACCGTTACAGTTCAGAGGCCTGCGAAACCATGAGAGAACCCACACGGGAGAGAAACCATTCCAGTGCCATCAGTGCGGCAAGAGATTCAGATATTATAGAGCAGCACAGAAAGAAGCATTGCCCAAAATTAAAGTCGATATGACTGAAGAAACAAGAGCTCAAGAGCTCAAGGCATTAAAAAGTGCTACCTTTTTTTGTGATTATTGTTTCACTCTATCCTGTTATCCTGGTTCTCTTCCTATCTTACAAATAGACAATACTACATTGCTATAAACAATTATAACTCCTCCACTGCTTTACTTAGACAGGGTGTTCCCCAGGGCTCTGTTCTCGGCCCATTACTGTTTATTATTTACATTATGCCCCTTGGACATATTATTCGCCATTATGGTTTTCATTATCACTGTTGTGCTGATGATATTCAGAACCGTTACAGTTCAGAGGCCTGCGAAACCATGAGAGAACCCACACGGGAGAGAAACCATTCCAGTGCCATCAGTGCGGCATCACTCTGGTGTGAAAAACTATTTGTGCGCAGATTGTGGTAAAGCCTTTATTACAGCCACTCAG